CCGCCCCCGGCCCCGGCCATGGGGCCAGGCGCCTGCAGCGTCCTGCTTGCCGCCCTGCTGCCCTGGGCTGCGGGGGCGTCTGCTGCCGCCGCCAGGTGAGGGGCGCGGGCTGCCAAGGGGGCAGCGCCACCCCACTGCGCGGGGTCATGGGCTGGGTGGGCTTAGCTGGGCGAGCTTAGCTGGGCGGTGTGGGAGAGTTAGGGTTGCCAGCTCTGACTGAAGTTATTCCAGGAGACTTTTTATTTTTTCTTAAAATATCCTATTGAAATCTCCCAGACTGCTTTCAGTAGTCACCAGGAGATGGATGCTGATCCCAGTAGACTCCTGGCCAGTCCAGGAGGGTTGGCAGCCCTGCGTGAGGTGCAGGTGTGTGGAGGAGTCAGGTCGGCTCTGGCGTGGGCTGAGCCAGCCCCTTCTAAACCAGAGTCTCAGAGAAGTGGGCCTGGAAGGGCCCTCCGGAGGGCATCTGGTCCACCCCCCTGCCGGAGGTAGGGTCAGCCCTATCCAAACCATCCCTGACAACTGTCTTCTAAGCTCTGCATAAATCTGCCCTCCCCACCCTGAAGACTGTCCTCAGCCTTGTTCTAACCAATATGTAATGTGTGTATTGGGGTGGGCTTAAGCTGGAGGGTTTGAGGTGCCTATGTGGATGTTTGCCCACAGCCTTGGCTTTCAGGGACATGGGGGGGAAGGATGGGATGCTGGTTATGGCTAAAACATTTGGGAGAAGGAGGGAAAGCATTGGGACCAATAGTCTCTGACTACTAAAGGGCTGTAGCTTGAGGGTGGTTTGTCATTTCAGCGACTATCTCCAGGGCTTATTCTTTTTATCTGCAGCACATTCCCAATTTTGCTTAAAGGCATCCAGGGGCGGATCCAGGATCGGGCTGCACTTGCAGTGCCCTCTGATTCCTGCTCTACTCTAAAGTTTACAACCAACTGCCTGGCAGTGGCAGCAGCATTTCTACTCGGGCACTGCTGAGGGAGTTGCTTGACTTTGTGGCTCATTGTCATCTACCTGATCCCTACTAAACTCTTCATTCCTCAGCTGTTAACAACCCTCTCTTCTTTTTTTTTATGGTCTTGATGTTCCACCCAGCAAGCTATCTTTTGTTTTGTCATTCTGCTGCCTGTTCTCTGTTTCTGGCCATGAAGATCCTGCTTTTAACTCATTCCAATGAAGTTCTATTTGTTTTTTGCTTCCATCTTCAACTGAATAATACAGCCCCAGGAAAGCTATTAGCTATAGCTATTGACCTATTAGGAAAGCTTCTAGGTTCTTTCTAACTGGAGGAAAATACGTGTTGTGTTTAAACAGGAGGATACATCTTGCCATCTGTGGGGTTTGTTTGTTTTTTTCCCCCCTCACCACCACCTTTTTGAAATTGTAGATCCATTCATGAATGCACATTCATTTATTTCAGGTAAGTTTTCCCTCTTCTCCCCCTACTCCAGTATATATGAGGATCTGTTAATGTGTTCAAATAAGGAAAGGTGTATTTCTGCATGTGTGTGCTTATGTGTATTATACTTAAGTATATACAATTTTAGTGCAAGAATCTCATGGTATTGAGATGTATGTATTAAGTATATGGGAACGTGGAAAGGGACCCAAGCTGAGCAGTTCAGACTCATATTTCACACAGTGCAAAATACTGGATCCAGGGTTTTCAGCTGATCCATTAAAAGATAGTGGGCTTTTGTGAAAGGCAAATTTTAGCTAGCTGGGTAGTTTGCAACTTCATGTGTGGTCAGAGCTGAGATTTCATTACAAGCCATTGCTACCTGCACTATGTATTATACACAATTGTGCTTTTTTTTTTTCCTTCTTCAAACCAGCTTTACCTCACTGGCTGGTGGAGTAGCTGGTTCTGCGTGGCTATGGTCTTCCTTGAACTTGGAGTGAGGGAACAAGCAGCTGTATGTTGGTGATTATCACCTCCTTCTCTTCAAACCTAGACAGAAAGTTTTACTGTACAGTACAACTGTCCTAGATTTAATGGACTTTCCTTATCAATATACATTTTCAAGGGTTTTAACCCCAAGCCCTATAGCTACATCTAATCCTCACGCACTTTCCACTGACAAGGTGTAGATTTCAATATAGATATACAGCATACTACATTCAGCATTGTTTCCCTTTTTTTCATGAAGCTGAGCATGGTGCTGTTTTGGATAAAGGTATTACAATTTTCCATCTGTAAGCTGGCTATAGGCTATTTCTCCCACCCCCCCCCCCCCCCCCCCCCCCTTGGAATAATTCCATAGTCAGTAGAATTACACTGGGGAAAACTCTGGCTCCATGACTTCAAAAACTCAAGGAGCTATAGATGAATGAAAAGGTCAGTAAAATACAGACAGCTATGAAACATTCTAGTCTCGTGTTGGCTTATAGAAATAGACACTGTTAAAGGTCTGCACGAGTAGCATTTGAGTTAAGGTTCAGAGACGGAAAGTTTGAGAGAAAATGAGCATAGTTATTAAACAGCCGATCAACTACTTTAGGATTTTACCATCAAAGTGCTATGTAATTAAATAAAAAAGCCAGAAAGAGCACAATAAAGTAATAACTATTACAAGGAGAATTCATTGCAATTAGCAATGACATTTTCAAGATGCAGCATAGTTTACTTGTTCAGTATCAGGATTCTGTACTGGTATGTTTATGATCAGCAAGTGGAAGTGTGCTGTTCCAATACATTTAAAGTTGTCAACTGGTCAGCTTTTCAGAAACTGTATGGGGACCAAGGTTTATAAACTCCAGACCTGTTTTTATGGAAAACACATTTGCCCTTCAAGCAGGGCACCTTTAACAAGGATTATGTTCGTGTTAGTTAGTTCTTGAGGTTTTATGCACTTGGGTTTAAAACTTCTTCAGAGGCGTGAAATCGGGAAAGGAAAATGGTATCTTATTTCAACAGAAAGCATCTCTTTGATTTAACTGAACTAGACAGTGATATGTTGTATATCTTAAGTATATAATATGAATCCAGGAAATTTAACATTAAACGGATGTTTTCTCTATAAGCGCTCTTGTCATACCAAAGTTCTGAAGTAGGGAGAGGTACCTGGTAGTTGTTGGCTGTGTCTTTGTCCTAATGGGGGAAAAAAGAGACTTTAAACATCTGGATAGAAAGCTCAAACAGCATGCTAAATACACCTGCAGAGGATATGAAATTGAGAGGACAAAACAGATTCCAAAGATGTAGAGAGAGCTTAGAAATGGGGACAGGAAATAACAAAATTAGAATCAGCTTTGAAAACCCAAAGCTCATACATTTAAAAGGGAAAATAATCAGACAGTCATTGAAAGGGAGATTTCTGGAAGGAAGACCAAAAAGCCCTACATATGATGATGGCTGGTAATTAAGATACAAGCTTCTGTTGTTTGCTTGTTTGTTTGTTTGTTTGTTTTTTATAGCATACTTGTTATGTAGCTCTACAATTCTAGTATTTATGCATTCAAAACCAAGTTTGGAAACAATTTGCCTGAAATGCTCTTTAGCTCCCAAGGCATATCTACTTCTCAGAGAAGATAAAAAACACGATGGTGATATGTGGCTCTGTAACAGGGGTAAGCAGTTGTATTGGGCAGAGAGCCACTTAGGGAGTTTTAGTGAGCTGTCACGGGCTGGATCAGCCCCCCCCCTCGCCCCCCCCCTCCCCCAACAACTCACCAAAACTCCCTCAGTGGCAAGTGGGAAGCAGATTGTGGCTCTGCCCTGAGCCCCAGCCCCTGTCACCACCCTGCGATCCCAGGGTCACCATGGAGACCAGCCAGGACCAGCACAGTCAAGTCACGCAGGTTGGGGGACAGGATGGAGCAATGGGCAAGGCATGGAGCTGTGTCCAGGACAGAGACAGGCAAGCAGGGTCGGGTATTGGGATCACAGGGCAATGACAGCACAGAGTTGGGGTAGAGCCGTGATCTGCTCCCCACATGACCCTGCACATGGGACCGGGGCCCATTACAGGGATGCGTGAACAATGGATTGCGTCTCTTCCCCAGCTCTGGCTCCACTGGCCCATCACAGTCCCAGATACTACTTCCAACACGCCCATGGCCCCATCCCATCCATCCCACCACACATCGTGCCTATGCAGGTCCCAGCTGATCTCCATGAAGATCCTGCCCACCCATTCCATCTGGCACCCCCAGTGGTGGGTTAAGGGCAGATGGGTTGGGGTGTCCAGGCAGTGGGGCCAGGGCCGGCAGTGGCAGCCAGCTGGGGCTGCCAGGCAACAGTCTAGCTGCTGTGCTGGCCCAGTGCTGCTGCATGCCTGGGAGCAGCAAGACGGGCTGTATGCACCATGGCCTGGCCTGCCTCCTGCACTTGGGCTCAGGTGAAACCAAGGAATCCACTGTGGGCTGGACAAAACGCTTTGACGGGGCCAGATCCAGCCCACAGGCCATATTTTGCCATCCCTGCTCTATAAGTATATAAAATCCAAGATTGGTAGGGAACTGTGGCCTCAGTCCTGTAGATTATCAATACAAAATGCCTGTTATTTAACCTTATTGACAATATAATTTCTCACAGGAGAGGCTAAGGGGACTGGGCTCATTTAGTCTGGAGAAGAGAAGTCTGAGGGGGGGATTTAATTGCAGCCTTCAACTACCTGAAGAGTGGTTACAAAGAAGATGGAGCTAGACTGTTCTCGGTGATGGCAAATGACAGAAAAGGAGCAATGGTCCTAAGTTGTAGCAAAGGAAGTTTAGATTAGATATTGGGCAGGGGAGGGGAGCTGCACTAGGAGGGTAACAAAGCCCTGTAACGGGTTACCCAGAGAGGTTGTGGAATCTCCATCCTTGGAGGTTTTTAAGACCCAGCTAGATGCTGGGATGATCTAGTAGGTATGGCCCTGCTTTGAGCAGGGGGGTGACCTCCTGAGGTCCCTTGTAACCCTAATTGTCTATGATTCTATGGTTAATATAAGACGAGAAGAAAAGATCAATAAAATCTTTACATTGAGTAGTCGGAGGCATCACATTGTGAGACAAATTAAAAAGCTCAGTTTCTTTTCAGTTCTGTATGTTAGGACTAGAATGGGGCCTGAATCAACTCAGTAGGAATTCTGCCATTGACTTCTGTGG